CAATATTGGGCGTGGGCTTGTCAGTCGATTAGTTCAAACTCTGAATTAATCGGGGCTTCTTTGTTTGGTGGCTTCATGATAAGTAGTTTGTTTTAATAATTGGATTGTTCGGAATTTTGTTTGATTTGGGGTAAATGTTTGAAGTTTTGTTTAAATCTCGGCTGTTTGAGCAGTATGGTTATAGCTGAAAACAAGATAGTAATTCTAGTTGGATGAAAGGGGTAGTTTCTTTAAGGACTTGTAATTTCAAAGCAGGAGTAAGGGTAGTATAGGAATTGCCTAGCTAAAAGAGCATCCTAGAGGCTTCTAGAATGGGGTACAAGTGTAGATTTCAATAATTGTGATGCATTTACTTGTTTAGCAAGTTAAGAATAGAGGGACTAAACTGAAAATAAGGGAGGGACTAAAAAAGAAGGCCTAAAATCTGATCTACTCTCTCTTGTTGCCTATAAAAGGGCATGAAATGCCTTAGGGAAGGGGTCTTCTTCCTTCAGCTGAGAGCCCCACAATCCCCTCAAAAAAAAAAAAAAATTTAGTCTAAGCTTCCCAGGTTAGGTTTGAATCTCAGATTAGAAATACTGGATCTGAAACTCCCGGTACATTCGAGAAAAAACCCAAAAGAAAGTAGATAAAATCCCAGCAAATATACAAATCACTGTTACATTGGTTTTGGGACTTAATTTTGATCAATTTTCTGCTCCTTTGATTGTTAGAGTGCTCTGGACCATGCTGGTTTGTTATTAAGCATTTTGTATTGAATTAAACTGGGATTTATTGGAGTTTGATGGTTGCTGATGTCTATGGATGCCATTTGAGTTCGTTTGTTTGGCATTAATGTTGTTTTGGTCAATTTCTCCTTCCTGTTTGGTACTTGGGTTGCTGATCTGCTTGCTTGGTTGAAACTATTACTGCGGTCCATTATTTCTGCTGCCTGCTGCTGATCCTTCTTATTCCCCATTTGTTTCGTTACTTCCAGGTACTTATCTCTATCATTGAGTGGTGTATGTGTTTACAAGCTGAATAAAACTGAATTGAAAAAGAGATTGAAGTGCAAGTATTGTGTTGTTACTTTAAGTCATACACTATTTCCTTGGTGTTCATTTGGAATGATTAAATCTGTACCGGATATGTAATAATAGGACTGATGTTGTAGTTAATTTATGGGCTGTTAATTGGTTTAGGCAATGGGCAGTTGGAACTGGTCATTGATAATCCCTATCTCTTGTTAGATCATGTTATTAAATGTTGGTTTAAGCTCATATTCGAATTAATATGGTGTTGTTGACCCAGTCAATCAGTGAAACAGATAGGTCCATTTGGATTGATTATTGTTAGCTTATGAACGTATTTGTATAACAACTGTGATTTGTGCAAATAGTTGATAATAAAAATAGCAACAGTTTGTTTCTTAAAAGTCAGGAAGTAATTGAAGTGTGAAGCTGGTGGTTAGATTTAAATTTTGAAATGCATAAAAATGATAAGTTTGAGTCAATACACGAATTTCAGTTTAATATTAACGTTTCTGGTGCTAGAGTCGAAAACAGCCTTTTGTTTGGCAAGTTTGTTGTTCAAATTTGATACTGCACTTTCGTTATGTTCGTGTTATTTTACAATTCATATGGTAGTAAGCTAAATAAAAATAATTGTTCATTTGTGTTTTGATTGGTTAAAACCCAGATCCGAAGTGAGGTAATGCTAAAAATAGTGAGTTGGTGTTTTGGATCGATTGGGGTGAACGTCGTGTTGTTTCCGTCCAGGTTCGAACCTGGGCTCATTGGTATGTGTTTGTGTGAGAATTGGGCCTTCTTTGGCATTGGGACTGTTAGTGTCCATGTAAGCCCATATGTTGGGGACAGTCTTTCTTATAAAGAAAGTTACCGACGTATTAATCAATTATTATTTTCCGAGACANATTTTCCCAGTTACTTTAAAAGAAAAACTATAGTTTACTCTAGGCTGACTTTAAAACAAATGAGACGAGCCTCGCTCAAACAAAAAATACAAATGCGGGGCCCTCGATAAATAGTTATTAAAATACTTAGAATTTGGGAGGGCCGTTTAGTGAATTTCACGGTCTTCCCCAAATAATATTGCGTTAGACGCTTTAGATGCGATTTAATTAAAATTCACTTTCTTAAAATTCGGGTGCGCATTGATGCGGCCCAAATCCAAATCTCGACGAAGTCGAAATGTGTCGACAACCACAGGTGCATTGATTGTGACGTGGTTCGAAACGCGCTTTCACAACGTCGCAATTTTTTAGAATAAACAATGATAAAAAGCGGTTTGCGAATAAAAGGTACATAAGCTAGTATGTATTAAAATCAGATAAAATTAAATACAACAATTAAGTGACCGTGCTAGAACCACGGAGCCTGGGAATGCCTAACACCTTCTCCCGGGTTAACAGAATTCCTTACTCGGATTTCTGGTTCGCGGACTGTTAACAGAGTCATAAATTTCCTCGGTTCAGGATTCAATCGGTGACTTGGGACACCATTAATCTCTCAAGTGGTGACTCTGAATTAATTAATAATTAAATCCCGTTCCGATTGTCCTTTAAATGGAAAAACTCCTTTACGCCCTTGCGGGTGTAGGTGAAAAAAGAGGTGTGACAATGCCCTTACTTCTTCTTCTGCTGGCTTTGCTGCAACTCGTCGTCCTGCTCTTACTGCTACACATGTCTCTCCAAATCTTTGGCATTGTCGTTTAGGACATCCAAGCTCAACTATTTTAGCTAGTTTAATTAGGGTCAATAAGCTACCTTGTTTTGCATTTAAAGGTTTAATGCTTGTCAACTTGGCAAGCACCAAAAATTGCCATTTATGGATTCTTGTTCCTTCTCTTCATCTCCATTTGAGTTAATTCATAGTGATGTTTGGTCCTCTCCCGTTCTTTCTTTTACTGGATTTCGATATTATATTTTATTTCATGACGATTTCATGAAGTTTTCATGGGTTTTTCCTCTCAAGCATAAATCTGATGCTTTTACTACATTTAAGCAATTTTATGCCTATGTATTGACCCAGTTTTCTACGAAATTAAAAGCATTTCAATATGACGGGGCTGCTGAGTTTGTTAAACTTCAAACTTTTCGATCATTCCTTAATGATAATGGTGTTTTTCTTCGCATTTCATGTCCTCATACTCATCAACAAAATGGCAAAGCTGAACACATGCATCTTACTATTTTAAATATGATCCGTTCATTATTATTTCAAGCATCACTTTCCTCTCGATTCTGGGTTGAAGCCCTGCACACTGCTGTCCATCTTTTAAATATTCTTCCTTCATCTAAGCTTCATTTTAAGACTCCCTTTGAAGTTCTTTTTGGCAAGCCTCCTATGTACAGTCATCTACGTATCTTTGGTTGTTCATGTTACCCAAACTTACGTGACTATTCATCCCACAAGTTGAGTCCTCGTTCTAAACATTGTATCTTTCTTGGCTATCCATCAAACTACAAAGGATACAGATGCTTTGATCCTTCCAGTAATAAAGTATTTATCTCTAGACATGTTAGGTTCAATGAGGATATATTTCCTTATCCGCATCTTCTCTCCTCAACTTTACTTGAATCTAGCACTTCTACTCTCTTTAAAATTCCCTCTCTAATTAATATTAATCCTTCTCTAACCTCAACCGTATCTTCTAATTTTCAGCATGGAGATATTGAAAAATATTCACGTTTCTTATCTCCTACAAATGCTGGAATTTTTTCTCCTATTCCTACTTTACCTCCTATTTTATCTCAACCCTTATATCCTAATCTGATAAATTCTAGGAATGCAAATCAGATTTTTAATTCTTTTAGAAGACATCAAACTTCTTTGCCAACTAGACAAAACATTCCTAACACTACTTCAATTGTGCAGCAACGTAGCACATCTCATTCTCCTCCAAATGTTGGACACGTCACTTCTTCATCCACCCCTAACCATACCATCTCACATTCACCCATCACAACGACCAACATATCTCCAATTCAAAGCCTTGACCCCTTTGTTTCTCAACCTCAAATTCTACACATATCTTCTCTAATACTAAAACACATCACATGATCACTCGCAAGCAAATAAGCTCTCTTAAGCCTCACATTCTCCCATCCTTAATCTCTCACATTTCATCACTTCCACCTGAACCAACTTCTTTTACGGAAGCCAACAAATCATCTCATTGGGGACGTGCAATGGCTGAAGAATACAATGCTCTTATAGCCAACCGCACTTGGGATCTTGTACCTGCACCACCTACTGCCAATATTATCGGTTGTCGTTGGGTTTATCGTATTAAACAAAAATCTGATGGCTCTCTAGAGCGTTTTAAGGCTCGTCTTGTGGCCCAAGGCTACAAACAACAAGAGGAGTAAATTATGATCAAACATTTAGTCCTGTGGTGAAACCAGTAACCATTTGTACTATTCTCGCCCTTGCTGCATCTAAGCAATGGCATGTTCATCAATTAGACGTTAAGAACGCATTCTTGCATGGCAATCTTAACGAACTGGTATACATGAAACAGCCTGTTGGCTTTGTTCATCCACAATTTCCTCATCATGTTTGTCGATTGAACAAAGCACTTTATGTCTTAAAGCAAGCCCCTAGGTCATGGTTCCATCGATTCACTTCTTTTATTCTAAGTACTGGATTTCAAAATAGCTTGTCTGATCCCTCTCTTTTTATTTATAAACATAACTCAGACATTGCTACTCTTCTACTATATGTTGATGATATTCTCCTCACTACCTCTTCTACTACTTTACTTCAATCTTTAATTCAGAATCTTAAATCCGAATTTTCAATGAATGACTTAGGATTAGTTAATTATTTTCTGGGTGTTTCTATAACTGCTTGTGATGGAGGTTATTTTCTATCTCAGTCCAAATACGTGAAAGAGCTCCTTGGTCGTGCAAATTTGCTTTCTTCCAAACCAGTTTCAACTCCTCTTTCTCCTAAGTCTCTACAACATTCGGATGATTCTTCCCCTTTTTCTGATCCCACACTTTATAGAAGTCTTGTTGGTGGTCTTCAATACTTGACATTTACCCGTTCAGACATTGCCTTTGCAGTTAATCAAGTATCTCAATTTATGCATTCTCCCTTAGACATCCACTATACTGCTGTAAAAAGAATTTTGCGATATTTGCATGGTTCACTGAATCATGGTTTATTTATTCCTAGGGGTTCTATTGACAGTTTACACTGCTATAGTGATGCAGATTGGGCTAGTTGCTCTATAACTCGTCGATCCACTTCGGCCTACTGTATCTTTCTTGGCCCGAGTCTTATTTCATGGTCCTCCAAGAAGCAGAATGTTGTTTCCCGATCAAGTGCTGAAGCTGAATATCGTGCAGTTGCTCACGTGGCTGCTGAAATCACATAGTTACATTCTCTTTTAAAGGAACTTCATGTTTCTTCTTCTTCTTCGCCTTCCACAATTTTCTGTGACAATATTAGCAGCATATATTTGGCACAAAATCCTGTTCAACATGCTCGTACCAAGCATGTCGAGATTGATATTCATTTTGTTCGTGAAAAAGTTGCCGCTGGTATTCTTCGAGTTCATTATGTCCCTAGTCAAGATCAACTTGCAGATTTATTAACCAAGGCACTTCCTTCACCGCGGTTATTGGTTTTGCGCAACAAGCTCTGCATTCTTCCAGACCATGTATCGCTTGAGGGGTGATAAATATATAATGTAATTTTTGAATTTAAATCATTATTGTATTTAGAGATAATATTTATCTTTTAGATCAGCATGTAACTATAAAAGCTCATTGTATCTGCAACAATATTCATCAAGAAATATTACTTGTTTCACTTTTTAGTCTTCCTTTTTTTCTTTCAAGTAATACTTTTTTCACTTATCTCCATTTCATCAGAATATATGCGTTCCTCAATGCAATGCCGTTACACATTTCTTAAATCTCTTCTTTTTAATTTTTGTTTTTCTAATTCCTTGACTTCATAGGACTTTGTTACCGCAAGACTTCATGGTGAACAACATGAGATTCGGTAATTAGCTATTGGTGACTTCATATTAAATTAGTATTTGACTCTATTTTAAGCTACTATAGCTAATTTACGTGATTATAGGATTTAAGTTACAAATGAAACTCGTTGAATAATATTTGTATTACGTATTGAATTTGTCTCAAAAAATTTCACAACTAGACAGAGGCCTTTTACTTTTGGCAAGCAATTCACTAATAAAGAATTAGTAATATGCTCTAAATTTTTGGTGTCGTCTTGCATTTTCTTTCAATCAATTTGCACATATATCAATTTTTCGGCTATCTATTTTCCATTTTGTTTTGAATTTTGACTTCAAGAATAATATTTTAACATTTATTTACTTTAGTCTATGTTTTGGAAAAGGCTTTAAACAATATTATTTGATAATTGTACAAATCATCCGACACAATTACTAAAATAAAATACAAATTTACGTTAGCCATATAAATATATACATAATAGTATATCAACAAAATTTTTGCGTTGAAAAAAATAAATAATCAAGATTGGAAAATTGCGTAACAAATGTAATATTTGATTTCAATAAGTAATAAGTGTTACAATCTCTATGGTATTCCTCTGATTCTTCAAGAATATAAACTATCCTGATGAGCTTGATTTTGATTTTGATTTTGATTCAAGGGCTTGTAAAGCTTGGTCTTGAATCTCCTTCTTGAACTTGAATTTGGGTTTGATCACGAATAAGTAATTTGATCTCGAACGCCTTGATATTTGATTTGCCTTCGTTCTTGATCATGATCTTAAACTTGAACTTGTACTTGAGTGCTTAAACTTATAGCTTGTAGAGAAACATGCCGTCTTTGATCCACGAGCTCTCTGCTTGCTTCTTGCTCTTAATTCCGGTGTTTTCTAGCTTTATGAAGGCCTATATTAATAGTTGTAGGGATTGGTGTGGCTCTGCGATTTGATTGGTCCATTTGAACTGACCAATACCATCCAGACACTTGGCAAAACTCTATTGGTTGTTGATTTTACTTGGTATGCTACCCTCTCTTGACACATGACATGATTTCATTGGCTCATTTATTTATCTTGGATCGCCACATCATTTGACACGTGTCTTGATTTTATTGGCTCGTTCTTTTGACTTGGATTGCTAAATCACTTGACATGTGGCATGAGCATGGGCTTTAAGATGGGCTAATAATCATTTGGACCTTGGGCCAATGAAGTGGATTTATTATTTAATTTGTAGTCCAAAATGGACTAACCCAACACATATATATTGAATTGGCCCAATTTATTAGCCACAATATTTGTTTGGACTAATGTCTTGAATTTATTATAGTCCAAATTATTTTATAGATTTAAATCTGATAAAATTTAATTGCCTATAAATGCTTCATAATTAAAGTCTTGTCATAGTGTAAACGTGTTGAACACCAAAGATTAGACTTGAAGTAATGTTGTACTAATTTTTTTTGGGAATACTTTACCCGCTCATCTGATAATTATTCGGATTACCAAATTGTAATTGAATAATATTTAGAAATGTTGCAGTATACAAAGAGGTTATTTCCTTGACCCAAATCCGACTTGAGAAGATTTGGGCATGCATTGAGTACATCAAGCAGGGAGAGAACGCATGGGTCAAGATTTCATTGACCTTTGTTGTCCTTGAAATGTGACTTCGAAAGGAGCTGAAAATTATTTTATTTAAAAAAGTAAAAATAAATTCTAGTTCATTCCCTTGGTTTAGCTTCTAATAAGATAGGAACTTGGAGTAACTTTTATTAGGAGAATATTTAACCGTCCGATACCATGGTGCAAATATGTACTTCTACTTTTACTCAAAATTCGGAGCTGCACTCAAATCTATGGGATATTTAGGGTGTGTTTGGTATGAAGGAAGATATTTTTCGAAAAATACTTTTCAATTTTATTATGTTTGATTGGTTTAAATATTTTAGAATTTTTTTTCTCATGAACTTATTTTCTTTCAATTGGAGGAAAATATATTTTCCCTGTCAAGAGAAGGAAAAACATTTTCTATAACTATTTTNCGCCCCACCTTCGCCCCCAGCCTAAATAAAAATATTATTACTAGTACTTTCTTTTCATGTTATAGATATATATTTTTTTCATTTCAACAAATGAGTATTTTCTTTTCATGATATAAAAAAGTATTTTTTTTGATTTAACAAAAAAAGTAATTTCTTTTTATGATATAGAAAAAATATTTTCTCTCATTTCAACAAAATGAGTATTTTCTTTTCGTAATGTAGAAAAAGTATTTTCTTTTATTTCAACAAAAATGTATTTTCTTTTCATGATGTGGAAAAAATATTTTTTTTATTTAAATAAAATAAGTATTTTCTTTTTATGATATAGAAAAAGTATTTTATTTTATTTCAATAAAATAATTATTTTATCTTAAACTGAATAATTTAAAAGCATATCCTTATACAGCATTGGCCGCTCTATAAAAAATACTGGCAAATTAGTTTTTTTAATCCATAATTTTATAAGCGCAATTCTTCTAACATTAAGATGCCTATTTCGTCTTCTTTCATAATGTTTTTCTCAAAAGTTTTTACAGGGTATACGTTGGATATTTGGGGGGGG